ACTAATATTAATAATATTAAGAACACTCATTCTAATATAAATAAGAAATATTATTAATATGAATAAAATCCTTAAATTACTCTAATTATAATAATAGTATTCTAAATAGTACAATGGTTTTGCATTTAATAGCATTGAAATTTCTAATCTATTTAGGTAATCTATGGTTACTCCTCTGCATCTTTCCTCATCATGAGTTTGTACAAAAAGAACATTAGTTGGTCTTGCCATATGCTATTCCAAAATCCAATTTCAAAATAGTACACTTACCTTAGACCATTTACTGACCTCCATGACTTCATTAGCTCTAAGGGAAGCATCAAGAATTTGCCTACCACCAATCAAGGGCACTTTGGTTTATGCCATCCATTGCTTCTTCCAACCTCAACAAAAACATCCTTATTAATAATCTCATACGCACTAGTCATGTGACTAATGAGACAAAGGTTCTAACATTTGTTTGATTGAGGGCTTGATGGTGATTTAAGATAAGGTGAAAGTTTCTCATCTCTAGTCTGTGGTTGACACAATAATCTTTCTTTCTTACAACTCTGTGAAGTTTTATAATATCTCACTATCTTTTTTTGAAAAAAAAAATATATCGTGTACATTATCAAGGTACTGAAACAAGGGTACCACTCAATTACAAAAGATTTACAAATGAGTTAAAGTGTCAATAACATTTTCAAAATCCATAATATCTTACCATCTTAGATGTCTATGAGGGTGTATCGAGTTTGAGGATGAACCAAAGAACAACAATCCAGTGTGTGTTAATATTGAGGGGGTAGGACTAGGACTTGAAAGACCTAGCAAATTTTGCTGGTAGTGATGTCTTTGGGTGATCTTTTCTTTTCTTTCTCCTTTTTTTTTTTGTGGAAGTAAAATATAGATTGACCTTTTCTTTATCTTGGAGTTCCTCTGGAATTATTCCTAGTGTCTCTTCCTATTGGATGGCTGTTGTGAGTAGAGTCTGTAAGCGCCTGCCAAAGAGGCGCTCCTTTTTCCCTGGGTGGTCAAGTTATTCTTATCCAGTCTTGCTTGTCCAGAATCCACTCTACTATCTTTTTCTTTTTAAAATTCCAGGAGGTGTCACAGAGAAAATTGGGAGGGTGATGATCCTGAAGGAAAAAGAGAATTAATAATCCTGCAATAGCTACATACTCCTCATTTATATGAGCTTCGACTCATCTTATGGCCATTAGCCACATTTCAAACTCATGAACAGTGTACTATCAATGTAAAGCAACACCTTCACGACTCTATTGCTAATGCTTTCTCGAATCTTGGGGCTATTTGAATATAGAACTACCCTATAAGGTCTGAAATGGGTTATCTCCAACTCCCTCAGTGGTAAGGACATTGTCGGCTCAGTGTTCATCCTGGTCCCATATTGATACAAGTTTAATGGACATTAGTGGTGTGATGTTACTTGGGTTTATTTGGTGGCTAGGAATGAATTTATCCCCATGCTTATAACTGAGATTTCTGATGCGTATCTGCTCCAGGCTGGAGGATTTAGATCTTTTATGGGGTTGGGTGATAAATAGAAGGTAAATTTGGTCTATATTTGGTTTGGTGTTGGTATCAGATTGAGGATCCAATGGTTTCAGATACGTTGGTGTTGGTTATGGGATCTCAGGTTTATATGGTTTAAGTGATGTGGCTATCAAGTATGTGTAGGTAAATAGAGTTTTTGTTTCTCAATGAGTACATCAATGTGTTGTTCATCTATGTTTACTTTTTTGGAAGCTTGGGTCAAGGTGTTTGGCTCTTATTAAAATCTGTTTAAATCACCTATTTGATAATGTAATAAATAAATTATTGGTTACTATAAATAGCTTCAAAGAAGAAAAGATTAAGTTCTGAACTCAATGCTTTAGCTCAATGTTTTCAGCCATCTCAAACACTCAACCCTCTCTTTTTATGGTCTCTTTTTCTTGCTTATGGGGGTTTTACATTTAACTTGGGACTTTAGAATTTACAATCTGGTGCTGAATTATAAACAAGCTTGGATGTTGAATGCAGGATGGATATACCCCGTTATAAAAGTTGTAATCCTAAGAAATCACCCGGGTTTGATTCCTTTTGGTTCTACCGGTGGAATCAGAAGGGTCCTGCACTTGATCAAGATGGAGATGCTAGTGCATTGGACAACAAAACCAAATCTGGTGGTCGGTACTGGTCTGCAAAATATGCTGCTCTGGAACGACATAAGGACTTAAAACGTATTCATCATATTGCTCCAAGAAAGTCTGCAGCTATGTCATTGGATGATTTCATTCCCTTGTCAGATGAAGGTGCTGATAACTGTTCCATTTCTAAGCATTCAGTGGTTGAAGAATCTTGGGAAGACGAAGTGCTACGCAAAACACGGGATTTTAATAAATTGACAAGAGAACATCCTTGTGATGAAAAAGTTTGGCTGGCCTTCGCGGAGTTCCAAGACAAAGTGGCAAGTATGCAAACAAAAAAAGGTGCTCGCTTTCAGATTCTAGAAAAGAAGATTAGCATACTTGAGAAGGCAGTGGAAATTAACCCAGATAATGAGGAACTGTTGCTTTGTCTTCTTAAGGCATATCGAAACAGAGACAGTCCTGATATATTAATTGGTCGATGGCAAAAGATACTTATGCAGCATTCAGGGAATTATAAGTTGTGGCAAGAGTTTCTGCATGTAGTTCAAGGGGAGTTCTCCAGATTCAAGGTTTCAGATGTGAGAAAAATGTATTCACACGCTATCCAGGCTCTCTCTGCTGCCTGTGGCAAGCAGTCTAGGCAGGTTCTTAATTTAAAACTTTCCAGTGCATTTTTTTAAAACAATTCATATTAAAAACTTTTCACTTATGTTGGAATTCAGTTTTCAGCAATTCTTTTTCAAGCATTCATAAACTTGTGTTTTTACATAATTTTTCAGTGCTAGGTTTCTTCGTGATAAAGCATGGCCTTGTAAGTAGAAGCAGTTTTAAGGTGTTGCATCAAAATGTCTGCATTTTGTTTTATTTTTGTGTATTTTTGTTTGTTTTGTTGTTTATCCCGTGTAGCATGCTGTTGATAGAGGCGACACTTGGCAACCTGCTATGATGTTTATTTTGTGGGGTAGATTTTTCTACTGAATTCTTTTCAGGTAGAAACTGACATTTGTTGGGGCTGATTCAGGTTACTAAAAGTTCTTTTTTTATCCCCCAATATTTCATAGGACCTGCACAAGTGACATTGTTGCATAACTTTGTTACATAGCTCAGATACTGATTTTCTTGATAAAATGGATAGAGGTGAATGACTGTAAATTTGTTATGTTGAAAATTCAGGCTTTATCTGTATTTTCTTTTTCTTGGTGTGTAGTGATTAGAAAATATTGCTGAAAGATGTGTTCTTTCTGTAATTATATGAGGTTGAAGGCTTTGCTAATTAGGCAAATGGAAGATAATGGGAAGGTTGGACTCTCAAAAAAAAAAGGATAATGGGGAGGTTCAAATTATTTGTCCCTTTTTAAAATGAGATCAAACAAACTTACATTTAAACAAAACCTTATTAAACTACGCCTCCTCTTCCACTTCTTCTTATCAGTTCTAATGCATTTTCTCGTTGGTTCAGGTTCACCAATCTGTTAAATCTTCAGATCCTGATGTTTCTCAGCTGGAACTTGGACTGGTTCATATATTTATCAGTCTCTGCAGGTTTGAGTGGCAAGCTGGTTACCATGAATTGGCCACTGCATTGTTTCAGGCTGAAATTGAGTTTAGTTTGTTTTGTCCTTCTTTACTATTGACGGAGAGTAGTAAACAAAGACTATTTGAGCACTTCTGGAATAGCAATGGTGCTAGAGTTGGAGAAGAAGGTGCCATTGGTTGGTCAACTTGGTTGGAAAAAGAGGAAGAAAACAGGCAGAAGGTTATGAAAGAAGCTGCTTCTCATAATAATGAAGTAGGTGGTTGGAGTGGTTGGTCTGAGCCACTATCAAAAAGTATAGAAGCTAAACTAAATCCAGGAGAGATACCCAAGAGTGATGTGACTGGTCAGGATGTTGAAGAGGAAATTGAGAATGAAAATGTCGAACAGGAAGAAGATACCGAAGCTTTGCTGAAGATGCTGGGAATTGATGTTGGTGCTGATGTTTCAGGTGAAGTGAATGATACATCAACCTGGGCCAGATGGTCAGAAGAAGAGTCATCAAGGGATTGCTGCCAATGGATGCCCCTGCGCACAAATACTGGTCTGTGTTTACCTCTGTCCTACTGTCTGTCTGTTTTTCTCCCTCTCTATACATATAAAAACTCAAACATGCACACATATGTGTACACCCATGCAATTTGTATGTGTTCGGTTTCAGTTTAACTATTAAGGCAGTATTTTTTATATCCATTTCTAAGGATACACGTGGCAAGGCAAGTTGGATATCTAATGGTGAGTATTTGCTGATTATGTGGCTTGAATTTCTGCTATTTGTACCATACAGGCAGAAGCCTAGTCAATTAGGATACCTTTAAGAGATGCTTGTCTGTTCTGGTGTAAGCATGTCTTCATCATCTGTTTTTTTTTCATCTTATTCATAAATTAAATACTAACCTCTGTTGCTTCTTTGGTGAATAGCTGGGATATCCTGTGCTGATGGAACGACTGATAGAGAAGCAGATGATCAATTTTTGAGAGTTGTATTCTATGAGGATGTGAGTGAATATTTGTTCTCATTAAGCTCAGGAGAGGCTCGATTATCCTTAGTATACCAGTTCATTGATTTCTTTGGTGGGAAAATTTTCCAATGGTAAGGATTAAATTTACTTTTATCCTGATTTAAATATTAGCAATTTTAATGAAAAAAGATATATTGTTAGAGAGAGGAGAGATTAATAGAAGTAGCGGATAAAAAATCTTGAAAAACTAAAGAGTAAGCAGCCACATAAAAATCTGTAAAAAGTACTAGGAGAAAAATCTGTAAAAAGCTGCATCCCTAATTCCTATGCAATGTAACTGAGGTGACGTCCCAATATAATCATGAACCCAACTCACAGGAAAGGTAAAAAGGTCATTTTATCCAGAGAGTGAAAGGAGAGAAGTAACGATCCTTGAAGAGCCAAGCATTAGCTATAGCTACAACACCTTTAACCCAACAAAGACAAGCATCTTTGCTTTCTTATTTGGCTTTACTTGCATAAGGGGATAAACGACAAAACACTCAAGGACGGGTGAGAGATCCACATGATGGCAAATGTGTCGAACAACCAAGATCATAGTCTCCAAGCCATGTCATGATGCAAGGAGCGATGACAATGAGACTCAACCTCCTTGAAGCACATAATGCACAAAATTGGGAAGAGAGCACGATTGAGTTTTACGGTTAGACAATAGGGTTGATTTTTGGAAATTATGGAGCATGGTTGGGTCTTACGATTAGACATCAAGGTGGGTTTTTGGAAATTGTGAGGACAATATTGAATTGTTATTCTTCTATTTTTTGCATATTAGAATTAGGATTGAGTTTATAAGGAATATTTTTCCTCTAAAGGTACTTTTTCTTAGGCTTGTTTTTGGAGTTTAAGATTGGGAATATTTGCGAAAGGTGCATTTAGAGATCGCTTCACAATCCTACTCATAAGTGGATCCCTAAAAGACTCAACTTGAGGTGGTAGGTAGATATTAGTAGTGCCAATGATGAATTTGAAAAAAAGATAGTGTAAACATCAGATGGGTCAAGGCTCCATGTGCAACAAATAGGGTGATGGGTGGGGTAAAAGATGTTATCCATCAAAGGTATCAAATTTATAATCTCTTATTGCTTAGGTTATGGACAGAAAGTAGGTCACATGACAATTGAAGAATTCAAAAAAAATAGAGATAAGTTTTGAGGTGAGATGATATAAGTGAGGAAAACAAGTAGCCAAAGGCAACTCTCACCTCTAGTGATCCTCTAAATAAACACCCAACCGACTAGGAAGTAAATGGGCCAAGAAACTATATACTTGAGAGATGAATTTTTGATGGCTCCACTAAATAGCAGCGGAATGATCATTAGTATCTAATCTATAGAATCAAACTAATAAAAATATTGATGCTGGTAAATATATAATGTTAAAAAAGAAGTAAATCAAGTTAATAAGTATAACTGTTAAAGAGACAGTAAATTAAGGTGTTATAAAAGGAACAAATTAGGTTCAATGGTATAAAGGTAAGTTACATCCTTTGTAATTAATTGTCTATTTCTTTTTTTCGTCATGAAAAATGTGTATATATAGAGATGTAATATTAAATAGAATACACATCAATTAGAAAAACCATTCTTAACATGATATTAGAGTCTAAGTTAAGAAATCCTATGTCTTCTATAAATCTTATTTGATTTTCATTGCCGAAGTAAAGAAAATGCTGACCTTTATAGCTAACCACCAGTAAGAAAAAATCTGCAGGTAAGGAAAAATCTGGTTTTGACACATTGCACCTAGTTTGGATGATTTAAACATTGCAATCGCTCTAAGAAAAGGGATAAGAGCTTGCATAAAGTAACTTACTTGCAAGTATATCTCTTATAAAGGGTTATCTTCATCCTACTAGGTTTTTGTGTTTAACCTTGATAATGCGCATATCTTAATTTCATCAAGAAGGCTCTAAAGAATCCTGAATAGAGACAAATTTTTAGAGAAGAAATTAGAGCTCTTTAGAAGAACGGTACATGGGAGATATTAGATCTTCTCCTTGGAAAGAAAACAATCGACTGTAAGTGAATTTTTACTCTTAAACAAAAAGGCATGTGAAAGCATTGAAAGGCTATGGGGTAGACTTGTTGAAATAGTTTCACTCAGTCATATAGAATAAATTATCAAGAAACTTTTGCTGTTCTCTCTAAGCTCAATGCTATAATGATTCTTCTCTCCCTTGTTGCAAATCAAGATTGTCACTGTACCAACTTGATGTCAAGAACGTATTTCTAAATGGAGATCTCTCTTGTTTTGGTTTGGAACAGAAAAGGTCGTAATCTTGTGTTACCGGAAGAGAAAAGCCGTTCTGTAAAAAAAATTTTCATTCCTGACAGTTTTGAAGTGGGCGGCTGGTGGCGTGCCATAAAAATTATATTTGAGCTAACTGACACGTCTCTAAAGAATCTTTTCACACAACATAGTGAGCAGATAGCCTTTGTCATTGAAGAATCATGCTCTCAGCAGGTCCAAACTGAACCTACTCACTTCTCTATATTTTGCCTGAAATGTCAGTACAGTCTCCGCATTGTTCTCACAACATTACCTGAGAAGTCCTATGTTGAAGTTCTGACATCCTCCACGGCCAACCCTAGTTGGGCGAAGATGATTGCACTCGACCCATCGTTGGTCCCAAAAAACTCGGGTTTTGAAATTCAAATCCATAATGGACTTAGCAGGCAACCCCCACTCGTGCAGAAGTCCACGAAATGGGCTCATCCCAAACCGGGCCTGAGCAAACCTATTATTGCAAAAAAGCTCAGATACTCTTGGGGAGAAAAAAGAAAATGGGTTGAACACACAGAATCTAACAAAGCGGTCTCGAAAATTTTCTCTTGCCCGAAGCCCAATCATCATAAAAACTTATGGCAATGGAGGCCCAAAAGGAAAGCCACTCTCTCCCCGACCCGACCAAGAGTTGCTAACCCGGAACCACTTAAAGATAAATTCCCTCGAACTTCAGTCTCTCCTCAAATTCCTTCACAACCCGAAACCATAATCAACGAAGTCTTTGCTCCCTAAATCACACTTGAGCAAGCCATTTGTCCTGTGCTTGTTTCAGAAGCCGAACCTGCTGACGAGCTCAATTTCTCAGGTGAGCACACCACTCTGAACTTCGATAATCTACATGGTTTTGAGCTAGCCCTGGTTCCAGAAAGGTTTTCTCCTTGCTCCACCCTAGCCACGGACATCCCCTTAGAAATTACCATAGCTGGAGACATGGACGCAGAGTTTTTCTATTCCTCATGGGTGCGCAGAAACATTCTCAGAGTTACCAAGTTATTGGGTGTCACCTTCGAGGGCTATGTTTGTAGAATTAGAAAAAAAAATGCTTGAGAAAAAGGAAGGGACAGAATCTACAAGAAAACCAAAGAAGAAGATGATAGTGGGTGGCTCCAGGGAACTGAAGAGGCTGTAATTTGACATCAACTATGAGGGTAAGCAGAGGCAAGACAGGGATAGTGGGGACTTTTTTGCCATTGACCAATGATAGATAAAATCATCTCGTGGAATGTTAGAAAATTGAATGACCTGAAGAAAAGAAACATCATGAGGGGTTGCCTTAGCCACTAGAAGCCAGACCTCGTCTGCTTTCAAGAGTTAAAATTGGACTCAGTCAATGACTTTCTTGTGGAAAGTTTATGGAACTACACAGAGATTGGATGATTATTCCTGCCGGCTAATAACACCGCGGTAGGCATTCTGATTTTGTTGAAGGATCTCTTGCTCTGCACTGATCATCTCCTGGGAACAACAATGATCCCTGGTACTTCACTGGTGTTTACTATAGAGGCGCCATTGAAAGACATTCTCTATGGATTGAACTCTCTTAATGTCGTGTTAAGTGGGGTTTGAATGGTGTGGTTGGTGGCGACTATAACATGTTCCTTCGACGTTACGAAAGATCGGACAACCAGTTCTCTGCTCTCTATTCGCAGGAATTCCAAGAGTGTATTGATAATCTCAGCCTAGAAGACTTACCTGTAAATGGCGGCTAATGGATTTGGAGCAGCCAGAGGGACGCACCCTCTTTCTCCCGTATTTAAAGATTCCTTGTCTCTTCTGATATATTAC